TCGACTATGTGCTGGAGGACATCGTGATCCAGATCTACAGACAAGAGCTCTACGGACAGACGCTCCTACGGTGACGCGAACCAGTTCGCTACTGTTCTTTATCATGGCGGCACGTTTCGACTGGAGCCCAGTGTGTGCCGACATCATGTCCGCGTTCATGCAGGGAGAAGAGCAGCCCAGAGACAAGCCTCTTTTCATGGAGCAGCCGCCCCAAGGTCTACCAGGACTTCAACCAGGACAAGTATTACGTATCGTCAAGGGTATTTTTGGACTGGCGACCGCCCCACGACAGTGGTGGGCTACTCTCAAGATCGCACTGCTGGAGCTTGAGCTCGTGAGCAAGGATGGCCACAAGTTCCACTTAGTTCAAAGTTTGGTGGATCCAGCTTTATTCGTGGGACATGGTTCAGACGGAACTCTGCAAACTATTGTCTGTGTTCACGTGGATGATTTACTGATCGCTTCCAGTACTCAAGCCAACTATGACATAATCAAGAAGTTGTTTCCGTTCGGAGGTTGGCAAGGGCTAGATTTCACCTTTTGCGCTAAGGATGTTGTCCAGCGTTCAGACGGAGCGATTCGAATGAGCCAGTGAGTATTCGCCGAGAAGCTAGAACCGCGCGAGTTGACCAAGGAGCGCAAACGAGATCTAGGATGCCCTGCCACGGAGATCGAGATCGCCGAGAACCGGAGCTTGATTGGCAGTTTGGGTTGGCTCGCTACGCAGACCCGACCAGACCTAGCTGCAGGAGTTTCGATGGCTCAGAGAGTACAGAACTCACCGACGGTGGCCGACCTGATCGAGACGAATCGCATCGTATCCGAGGCCAAGCGCTACAATGAGACCGCCATCACGATCCCGAAGTTGCAGGACGAGCTCTGCATTCTAGCGTTTCATGACGCTGCGTGGGCCAACGTGGACGAGCCAGACGACAAGGTAGCCGGTACCGCCTGGTGGTGCCGACGCCGCATGCGCACCGCCTACGCTTCGGAGGCTCCGAAGAGGCTCAAGGCTAAGAGCCAGGCGGGATTTCTATTATTCGTGGACGAAAGGAGGATCATCCAGGACGGAGAAGGCAAGGCAGCTTTGGTTGACTGGAGGTCAGCTACAATTCGCAGGGATGCTATGGGAGCAGCAATTGTTATGCGTGCTTCAGTTCTTAATATTTTATTTCCGAAGATGAGTATCGACAGCATCGATCCTACCCTATGCCCGATTCAGTGTGTGACGGACTGTGCTTCTTTATATGATACAATTCACCGAGAAGGAGCTGTTAAACTTTCAGCTGAGCGTAGATTGGTTTTGGATTTGATCGGACTACGAGAACTCATGGAGGGCGAGATTGTGGAAGAAGTGGCAGCAGCTACTAAATCCAAGTTGCCTTTGGCTTGGTGTCCTACTAAATATATGCTAGCCGGTGCGCTAACTAAACGAATGGATGGATCGCAGATCAGGAAGTCGATGGATGGAGTTATCATGTATCACCAAGACACCCCGCCTAAGAGCGACCACGACTCGAATGCGATGCTGAGTGCGTGGACGACCGACTGGGAGTACATGGTTTGATGTATTCCTGCAAGTGGACAGATATTGATAACGTGAGCATACTATGCCTTTTTCACATTACGAAGCCCATCGGCTGCCTGCTTATTTTTCTTTGGCAAACTGTTTGCACTGCTGTCTGTTGTTTTTGAGACGGCGGATTTCGCCCGCTGCGGGACCTGGGAGTTTTGATTTCTAGCACGCTGCCGTGCCCTCCGTGTTTGTGCTTCTTGATCGACAAGGGGCAACAGAATTTTAGAACCAGTGTGAAAGCGAGAGTGCTGGATAGCCCAGCGTTTGCCCCTCGTCTCACTTGTTTCTTATCCGTAAACATTGCGGCTCCCAGTCCGTAAACATTGCGGATCCCAGGGCCCTTGAGTCTCAGGCGACACACGGAAAACATCAGCGCCTATCTCATAAGTTGCATCTTCACAGAGGGGAAGCACCGACCTGGGATCGGCGATACACCGCCGCTGGATCGGAGGAGGAGGAGGAGGAGGAGGAGGAAGAGGAGGAGGAGGAGGAGGAGGAGGAGGAGGGGTCTGAGTCTTTCTTCTAGTACATTTCTTTCTCTTCTTCTTTCTTCTTATTCTTATGATTACCCCCTGTCCTCCGGACCTCCTGGCGAGCTATCGGGCCACCCTCGAGCAACGACGCACCTTCCTGGGCGGGGCAGGCTGTCGGGCCCCGAGCGGCCACCGCGGCGATCCGGGGGCGACGCGCCCCCACCCATGATGGGCCTGTTTTCCACCACCACCACCATAAGTTGGAGGGGAGGGGGTCCTCCTCCTCCTCCTCCTCCCCTCCAACTTATGGTAGTGGTGGTGGAAAGCAGGCCCATCAACCCAGGGCCCATCCTCCCCTCACAGCTCAGGGGGGCGTAAGACCCGGGTACAGGGGACGCGGAGATCCCCGACGAGGTCGTCGACAAAGATGACGAGGCCGGGCCTGCATGCTGACGAGGCCTCCCGCTGCAGGCCTCCCACGAAGCTCCTCCTCGTCAACATCCGAGTCGCGGTCGTCAAAAAACGATGGCGAACCCGAGTCCTGGCAAACTCGGGTCTTACGCTCCCCCGAACAGCACCTCCGGGCCACCAGGTCAGAACTCCGCCCACTGGCGGCCTTTCGGGATGCTCTGGCCCCCCCTCCCCGACGCCGCTCTCGGCAACCCGCAGCCGCTGGAGGGGTACCCCGAGGCCGGACAATCGCCGTCGAGGCCCGAGACCTTCGAGCCTCCAGGAACACGTCCGAAAACGACCTGTGCGCGGGATCGCGCCGACCCGAATTTGGACCGCGAGGGCGCAGATTCGGATGGGCGCTTGCCGCTCGTGATGACGAGGGCCTTGGCGACCCCGAGCCCCGACTTTGGGATCTGCCCGGCTGGATTTCAAAAACTTGGACCCCAACTCGGGGATGGGATGCGGGGGGGCAGCAGTCCTTGATAAGGGGAGCGACCCAGCAGACCCCGAGGGTGTCTCCCCGAGCGGCTCCTGCTTCTTTCTCGGGGGGACCTGGGGAGCAGGGGCGAAAAGTAGCCCGCGACGCGACACTCTGTGCGCAAGAATATGTTGTCATTTTTCGCGATAGCCCCTCGTGACCGGCTACGCGCACGCAACCCTGCTCCCCCCTTGGTCACGTGGCGATTCGAGCCGGCGCCTTATGAGAAGCATGTGTATCCCTGAAAGGCGCTGGCGCGAATCGCGACGTGACTGGCCCCCTCGCCCTCTCCCTTAGAAGGCAACTCACGGACGCTTTTGTTGGTCGTCCCCATGGCGCCCAATATCGCGCCCCATCTTGGGCGGTATTGGTCGCTATGTGGCGCTATGAAAACGCTATTCGATGCTACTGGAAACTGGTTTGCGCTATTGAACACTGTTCGGCTCTATTCGCCGGTATACATTCAAGCCAAAACGAACGGAAACTTCCGTGATTTTCTATCCAACCCTCCCCCCGGTCAGCTGGTTATAGCTAGGACATCAGAAAACTACTTCCAAAGAGTCGGGACCGATGTTGCATCTTCGGGGACCTTGCCTGTCCCGTAGCGCCGCGATCGGCGTCGAAACCGTGTCGAATCCGTGTCGAGCCCGTCGAAGTCATATCGAATGCGTGTCGCATCCGCGTCGAAGCCACACCGCATCCGCGTCGAACCCACCTCGGAGTAAAAGACGAGCCTGCAGTGCACGGGACAGGAAAAGCCCCGCGACGACGCAACGCACCGGGCTGGACGAGCAGCTAGGGCGAGGAGGGCCCTCACTCCTCCGGGGAGCCGCGGCCCTGCAGCTCCGGGCCCTCGCCAGGGCTGGACTCCAGGAGGCCTGCACGTAGGGGGGATAGGGGCGCAGGGTGGACAATCAGGTGAATCTTTCTGTTGGAAGCTCAGTCTGACACGTACCGCCTCGGCTCGGTAGTCTTAACTGGCCTCTGGCAGCCTTTAGCGTATTATCAGCGGCCTCGATTGTCTTTTAGTCTTCAGTTGCCTGTTAGCAATCTCTAGCTGCCTTTAGCAACCTGTAGTAGCCGTCAGCGGCTTCTAGAAGCCCCTACAAAAGTGCAAAGAAGCGCAGTCTGCATATTCAAATGAGCTTCCAGAAAGACCCACTCAAGGAGAGGGGGCGGAGGAGGGCAGGCGGGAAGAACGTTCTGGTGTCCGTTCCCTGGGAGACTGACCAAATTTGCAACACATTTGGGACGGGACTTGGACCGCCCCTCACACGGGAGACGAGCAGAAGGAGGCGGAGGAGGAGCAGGAAGGGCGAGGAGGATCAGAAAGAAGGGCCAAAGACGGTCCAAATGCAATCAAGCTTTGATGTTCTGGCTGGTTTCCAGACGGTTCAGATGCACTGTTCGTTGCAAGACGGGCGCAAGCAAATGCAATGCACATGAAAAGCGGGTTTCAGGGTCGTCGCCCAAGGCTCCCATGAACGGACATCGAGAGATCTTGGCTCGAGCTCGAGGTTCGGAGCGGTGTCTCGCCGTTGTCGGGCTCCTCTTGGGGCCGTGTTCGGGCGCCGGGCCCGTCTCAAGGCTAGATCCCGCACGGAAGCAGTCACCCGATGGACCCTGAGAGGGGTTCGGGGGCCGATGGTGACACGCTTTCGGCCAGCCTGGGGGGGACGGAGGGAGGAGGAGGGAGAGAGGGCAGGAGGGGAGAAGCACGGAAGACGGGCGGAGGCGGAGAGGGACGGAGGAGAGGGTGCGAGGGAGGGGGGACAGAGGAAAACGAGGAGGCTAGAGGGACGTGGAGGAGGGAGGAGGGGGAGAGGAGGAGGAGGAGGAAGCGGAGGACGAGAGGCGATCGCGACTTTCCAGAGAGTGCGTGCCGCTCACCCCGATTACGGCGCGATCGCATGCTTGCGAAAGGCAGCGCGACTGTGGTTCGGGTGGCAGCGTCGAGCTCCGCGAGCGCGGCAGCGCCGGGCAGGGGGGGCCGAGGGTGGGGGGCTTGCAGGCATGAGGGGGGTGAGGGGAGGTGGCAGGACAGGGCGGAGGGGGCACAGGGAGGAGGGAAGGATGGGGAAGCATGGGGGCATTGGGGCATGCACTGGGAGGAGGGAAGGATCGGGGACGAGGACGATTGCGGCCAACCCGTATCATAAGGATGCAAGAGAAGGATGCAAGGGCCTTGGACGGCCACGTCGACAGTTTGCGGGCCAGGCGCGGCCGGCAGAGGCGGCCGACGCTTGGCCGAGGGAGAAGGATGCAAGGGTAACCTTGGAAAGTCGCTCATCCTTCCTGCGCGGGTTGACTGTACTTCAACCTCCTCCGCCTCATCCTCCTCCTCCTCGTCCTCCTCCTCCTCCTCCTCCTGCGCGGGTTGATTGTACAGTGGAGGTCAGTCCCTACTGTGCGGGTTCACTATAGCAAAGCGTGTCCTACTACTCGCAAAGTAACTTCTTCTTTCCACGGGGCCAAAGTTGGGGTCGACCCCAATTTGATCTCGCGCACCCCTCGCCCAGGACGAGGAGGGAAGGAGGGAGAGCAGGAGGAAGGAGAGGCCGAAGGGGGAAGCGACGACCAGCCACTACTCGCAAAATTCGCCAGCCCAACGGGCCAGAGGCGTGCTAAGATCTCCGATAACTACTTAACAATATTTCTAGTTCGCGCGCGCGGGGCGGCCCCTGGTGGGCCCCGGACGAAAAGTACCCCGGCCGATCCCCGGCCGGGTCCCGCGCGATCCCCAGGGGGACGGCTATTGTTCGCCACCCCTCACAAGGATCGTGGCCTCCGAGGGGGGGGCTGCCATCGACTACCCCCAAGAGCCCCCCAAGAGGCCCCAGGGGAGCCCAATACGCCGCCAAGGAGCCCCCAGACGCTCCCAAGAAGCCCCCAAGATGCCCCCAAGACGGCCCCAAGAGGCCCCAAATATCGCCCCAGGGCCGGCGAAATGAGCAAAGCGATTAAATAACCACTCGCAAACGGCCTGGATCCGCCGCGGGGGATTCACGATCCATTACATCGAGACAAACAAGCGCTTCTTTTCTTTCGAATGCGAGTATGCACTTTGCGAGCACTGGAACGCGCTCGGTGAAAGATGGAGGAAAAAGGGTGCGAATACAAGGGGAGAAGAAAGCATAAAAAGGGAAGATGGCGAGAGGAAAGAGATGGGGGGGCGGAGGGTGGGAGGGGAACGAGGGGGAATGATGGTGAAGGACGGACATATAAACACATGGCATCCATGCGTATAACTATGTAGAACCTAAATATACCTGTGTATGAGCTTGCTTGTCTCGAGCTGGCAGGGATTAGGATGAAATGCGCACGCTCGCAAGCACGCGCACACACAACGCACACACGCTCACATTGTTTCCCTCTGGCGGCCGAGTGACGTCACCACAGCGAGAGCTAGACGGCGCACAGACACACACACACATACACACACATACACACACACATACACACACACACGCACGCACGCACGCACGCACACACGCACACACACATACGCACACACACGCACACACGCACACACACACACACGCACGCACGCACGCACGCACGCACGCACGCACGCACACATATATACACACACACGCGCACACACACACACACGCACACACACACACACGCACACGCGCGTTTTACCCAGCGAAGAAGTCCAGCGGCAGAGAAAGGCGGTTGAGGGGGGAAGGGAGGGAGGGAGGGGCGGGAGGGGGGCGCGCAGTCTGCACGCAGGCTGCACACACAAACACACGAGCGCACACTCGCCTTCCGCCGGCAATGTGGCAACAAAGTCACGACGCTGCGAGGGAAACGACCGTGTGACCTGCATCCTGCCTTCTGATGGTGGAACGGCCGAGCCGCGCTGAGAGCCGCGCTGGGAGCAGCGCGCGGGAAGGGAAAGCCCAACCGACCTGTGAGCCCGCAGTCAGGCACGCGCTTCACCGGGAGAGCGCGAACGCAGAGCCTGCGGCCTAGTGTGAATGCAGCGACTGCACACACGCGCACACGCGCACACACGCACACAAACGCGTTTGGCGTCGCGGCCCTCCACGAATGTCCAAGAAGGCCTCTCAGAAGGCGATTATAGCTGAAAAGTGGTCGAACCAGGATGGATCAGGAACGCTGAAAACAACCCAACAGGCCCCAAAAAGCCCCAAGAGGGCTACAAGCGACCGGTTTTTGATAGATGTTTGCGTTCTCTCCTTTGCGGGCTTTCGACAGCCGAAGATGGCCCCAGAGGCCTCCAAGATAGCTTCTAGACGTCCCAGGAAGCCTGCCCAAGTAACCCCAGGATGGTTTAAGAGACCTCCATCATGCCCCTGAAGCTTCCCAAGATTGCCCGGTCCCCAAGACGGTGAAACGGCCACCGCTTGCGTCACACGGGCCAAAAGAGCTATGTGACGGCCGATTAGGACCTAGGCGCCATGTGCCCCCAAGAGGCCCCTTAGTGTCCAAGAGGCCCCCAGGGGGGCCCCAGGACATTCTTCTAACTACATCCTCCAAGACGCGTTTGGCCCTTCTTGGGTCGCTAGAGACCGATGGGGATCTCATCGACCCCCGTCTCGTCTCCTTCCTCCTCCCACTCGCCATCCCACCCCTCATCAGGCTCCTCCTCTCCTCATCCTCATACCACGCCATCCGCAACCTGCATGCATGTATACACGTTTGAAAATTGAACATTTACATATGTAGTACTTTTACATATATCAATGTGTAAATATATTCTCCTCGCGCAATGTACTTTGGTCCTTGATGATCGGCATGCAGGCAGGTAACTGAAGCAATAGAACACATTTAGCTATAACTCGTTGTTGCCTTTTTTTTCTGGCATCGTCGTTGTAATAATGCTATTCGTTCTACTTCCCTCATGTGTTCGGGCATAGTCCGAATTTGTTTCTCGCGACTGAACTGGACTGACCTGAACAGACTGGTCGCACCCGTTACGCGACCTTTCTATGCTCGGCCGCCGAGGGCGCAACCGATGGCGCAACCGATAAGAGCCGTTATATGCTCGGCCACCGAGAGCGCAACCGATGGCGCAACCGATAGGAGACGGTTGTATTCTCGGCCGCCGAGGGAACAACCTATGGCGCAACCGATAGGAGACAATTGTATTCTCGGCCGCCGAGGGCGCAACCTATGGCGCGACCGGTAGGAGACGGTTTTATTATCGGCCGCCGAGGGCGCAACCTATGTCGCAACCGATAGGAGACGGTTTTATTCTCCGAGGGTGCAACCTTTGGCGCAACCGATAGGAGACGGTTTTTTTCTCAGCCGCCGAGAGCGCAACATATGGCGCAACCGATAGGAGACGGTTTTATTCTCAGCAACCGATGGCGCAATCTATGGCGCGACCGGTAGGAGACAGTTTTATGATTCGGCCGCAGAGGGCGCGACCTATGGCGCAAGCAATAGGAGACAATCTCTATTCGACAGGCCTCCGCCATTCCGCTGGCATCCCTGCGGCAGGGTCCGTGACCTGGTCCGGCGTTGAGCCGCTCTCTTGAAACGCAAGCGGGCCAGCGAGGGCGTCGAGGACAGAGGTGCCAGGAGAAGGAGGATGAGCAGGAGGGGGGAGAGGAGAAACGAGGACGAGGTCCTAGAAGAGGACGAGGAGGAGCTGGAGCAGGAGGAAAACGAGGAAGACGAGGAGGATGAGGACGAGGAGGAGGACAACGACGACGATCAGGATGGGGAGGAGGACGGGAAGGAATACGAGTAGTACGAGGACGAAATGTGGGCATTCGAATGCGTGCGGGGCTACGCCCGAGTTCTGCTCGCCGTTTGGGCTGGCGGTGGGGCACAAGCGGCGAGCTGTCTTGTGATTCCTCTTCCTCTGTCTCATTCTCGCCCTGCCCTGCGAATTCGGCCCCAT